CTTTGATTCGGTCTGTTGACGTCCCATGTGACTAATTATCAGATTGGAATTCCGGCGAAGATTGTAAAACTGGTGAAACGACTGTAGGAAGGAATATCGGTGCAGTTCAGAGTTAAGGCCAGAGGTTTTTACTGATAAACTGCTCTATTGTTGTTTTTCCTTTGTGTGTCAAGAATGTTTAATTTTATTATGACACAGTTCTGAATAATTAAGCGGCATTGTTTATTTCACTTTTGAGTTTGAAGACATGCACGGGAATCTTATTTGACTAAAGTTAAAACCGTTGGAACCTTAGCTTTTAGGTGCTAGTAGTCCAGTGAGGCGTACCTTTGGAATATGACCTTTGCCGCAAAAGTGAATGTGTCTTAGTGTCAGTCTGAAGTACCACTTTTAGTGGTCAAACATCATAAATCTGAGTTTCTCTGCTACTTTAGCTCTGGTGGCGGTGACGATGACAAAACAGTAACAGTTCAGTGCTTGCTTTTAATGTTCCGCTTTTCCCTGTTGATGCATTTTTATTTTAGCACAAGGCAAGGTTCGAGTCGCTCTGGGGAAAGCAGCTCTGCTACTAAACAACAAATTTGCAAAATTTGAGGAACTGGTGCAGCAGAATTTGGTTCGCTTTGTGTAATTTAACAGTTTTCCGTATTAGAAGTTGCTGATTTAGAATCCCATCCCTAACTGTCCGTTCACTGTCAAAAATTCTGATCTAGATGGATACTGGCAGTTGGTGTCCATTGAGCTGGACAATATGAAAAACTGCTTTGATGGTTTGGCGAATTTGCCGGCTAGTGGTTCCGTCGCTGACAAAAAAGACGTAAGTAAAAATCTGAATTTTTGGTTAATGCTGTTCCCTTTAATGCAGGACAGCGGCGAGGTATCGGCAGAAAGTAAACATGGCAAATCGGAGATCTCAATAAAACATTTCCAGATTGGTGTAAAGTCTTCGGGACTAGCAACAAAAAATCTAGGTTCAGAGCGTTTGCGAGCGATGCGGTGCGATGCGGTAGCTAAGAAGAAAGCTAGATTTGGCGTAGAGGAAGCGATGGTAAAATTTTTATGCATATTTAAGGATCACTTTACTGGGTAGTATACTCCTTGGTAATGTTCAATCTAACAGTTATTCCATTTGGTAACCGCCACTTTTTCTATTTTTATTTAATAGTTTACGGCATAGTTTTCTATTACTTCAATTTTTTCAATGCACTTTGTGATAATTTTTTCGGTTTCAGGTTGATTTCGAGTCAGATAATGGAGGCATTGTTCCGTAGATGACTTTGTTTCAGCAGATAGCGTCTGCAGGAGCGTTAGGAAACTATTCTTCTCTCCTCAGAATTTAAAATGATTTTTCATTGTAAATTTATTTGCATTTTGATTTCGGTTTTATTATTTGTATCATCTGTATTCTCTTCTATGAGCCGTTTGGCTGAACTCTTTGCATGTACTATGGATAGGCCAGTTTCAAAATCTTGATAATGGATTCAGACATTTTGCTTCTGTCGTTGAGAAAATATTTTTGATCGAACTGACGTTATTTTAAACTGCTTATTTATGCTCCAGTCTGTTAAAGTTGCGGAAAGCATAGAAACGTTTTTATTGTTACCGAAAATAAATATGCTGAAATTGCCGTATTTTAAGCGCGAAGCAGAGTAAAACACGGTTTATTTATACACAGCGCAAACCCTATGGTCGATCAGATAATTGAACAGTAACGACATTTTGGCCCATGTTTCGGTCTTTCTTCGAGGTAAGGTGGTTGACTGACTGACTTCGGACTGTCGTTCGCAACGGTGGTACATGTGGAGTCAGAAGGTCTAGCTTACGTTGCTGCTAGCGTCTACTTAATCTTCCATGACTGCTCATCCTTTCGTTCCAATGTTCCCGATTTTCTGCAGAGACTGAGCATTGGCCGAAAACGGCCAGAGTCTAGAGCAAACTTCTTCCACATATTTGCACACTAGTTTAATTATGACTGTCCCCTGAGTCTTCTGCCCATCGGCTCAGCAAGAAGTAGTTGCTTTGCTTTCCTTTCCGAAGGCATTCTCAACTCGTGCCCAAACCGTCGCAGCTCCTGTTATTTCTCAGTTTGGAGACGCAGCTAATGAACATCGAGGTTCTCCTGGATTTCTTGTGAAGACGCGTAAGGTCATCGACTCGTTTCAGAAAGCCCGTTTCAACCACTGGTACCAGGGATCCTACTTTTTTAGTCAGAGACCACGGTTCATTACCGTAGGTCAGCATGGGATGAAAAATGACAAGAACACCAAGAGCTTATCTTCAGACTAAGCTATGCTTTAGACACATCGGTTTGGGAAAGTTCACGAAGAACGCCATTGGCTTCTCCAATCTGCCGATCGATCTCTTCCTCAGATTTTCCATCGCTAGTAAACACAGTCCTGAGGTACTTGAACTTCTCTACCTAATCAACTGCTTCTCCGTTTATCTGAAGGTAACACGGGCAGGAGAACGAGAAAGGCTTTTTGTTTTAGATACGTTCACACGCATGCTGGCTACGTCGCTCTCGGCTGCGATTCTTTCCAGAGAATGGAGATCAGTTTCAGTTGACAACAAAACAAGGTCGTCTGCAAACAAAAATCTACTCGTCTCGACATCTCTTACGCTGATACATTCACTGCCGTAGCTGCATCATTCTATCCATGTACAACACAAGCATAAGAGTGGCAGAACACAGCCTATGCAGAGACCAGTGTTAACGCCGAAAGTAACGCTATTTATTCTGATGCTGCATCTTTCAGCATGTAACGATTGGATGGTCCTTAGCAACTGGCCATACATTCCATATGTTCACAGGCACACCCTCGGATTGTTGCGCGGGATCGTGTCATTGGTTTTCTCTAAGTCCACAAAGCATATAGACCGGATGAGCGAATTCTCACGATTTCTCAATCTCGCATGGGGCGAATATTCGGTAAGATATGCTTCATCCAGACCGGAAGCAACGCTACTTCTCTTGCACTTTGGAGTCAGTTATTCCGCGGAACCTTCTTTCTAGCACCTTTGCGTACACTTTACCCAGGAGACTCAATAAGGTAATGCTCCGATAATTAGAACACTTCATACAGTCTTCCTTCTTGAACAGAGGTAATTCAACTCCCGTTCTCCAGGCCGCGGGAGTCTTCCTCATAGCCATGAGTTTGATAGACACGGATAAGCCAGCACATACCGAGTTGCCAAACGTTTCATACATTTCAAGGCGGATTACATCAATTCCAACAATCTTTTCACTTTTCAAGCTTTCCGCAGCTTGTGTAAGTTCATCTACAGAAATAGTAATATCCGCACCCTGCTGGTTTTCGTGCGGTTGCGCGGGGTTAAGGAGTTTCTCAAAGTACTCCCTCCATCGCCAAAGAGTATCATCATCCTTGGTAAGAGGGTGTCTAGACCTGTCCCTTATGACTTTTAGACTGTTTTTCACTTCAGAGTGGGCGAATGACCTGCCTGAATACCTTGATCGCTGCCTGAAAATTTGACTGCAACACCTCACCAAATTTCTCTCAGGAATCAGCTTTGGCTTTCGCTGCTACCTTGCGCGCTTCGACATATTGCATGCGAGTAGAAAGCTTTTTGCTTTCAAGCCATTTCTTGAATGCTTATCCTTCTTTCGTCATTCTTTCAGCAGACGTGCCACTTTTCAAGTACAGTGGTACCTGCAGTCACGAACAACTCGACCCACGAACACAATTTCCGAACAAACTTTGACTCGACTTGCGTACAATGCCTCGATGCACGAACACACAAACATGACTTTGGGGTAAGCGGACAAAAGCCCCCGTGAACAAAAACAAATTTTGACTCCATGCGCGCACGATGCCCCGGCGCACAAATGCCTAAACATGACTGGGGCAAGCAGACAAAAGCCCCCCGTGGACGATAACCTCCGGACCGGTCAAAATCTCTTCGGAAATTGTGTTCATGAGCCGAGTTGTTCGTGATTAGAGGCGTTCGTGGCCAGAGGTACCACTGTATATATAAAATATTTTTTGCATTAAATTAACCTTCATTATAGCTCTCAAGAAAA